AGATACTAAAATAAAAAAATCAAATAAGAGTTTTAATTGTAGGTTACCAAGAAATGGTCATTATTTATAAACAAAACTAAAAGGAAAAACTAACATATAAATTGTTTTAATTATGAACTGAATGTGTTTCTTTTTTATATATTTTTTTTTTAAGTTTAGGCTTAAGTTAATTTATATTATATAGGTTTTTTTTAAATTGACTGAAATTATTGACTCAACCTTATAATTGTGATAATAAAAACAAACAAATATTTTAATTATTTTTTTTTCTACATTTTCTCCCTAATATATTAACTTGCAACTTCACCTTTTTCAAATCGAATGAAAAGCCCGCCATTGCCCCAATTGAGTCAGGTGGCAACACCTCCGTTTAAACTTTACAAGAGAGCCGAAGCTCTCTTTCGGCTCTCTTGCGCGCTCCTGCAAACATATGCGCGCGTGTGTGTGTGTGTGTTTTGTATCTTTTACTTTTTCGAGCGCCGCAAGCATCGGCAGCAGCGTCAAACTCAAACAGTCGCCAGTGAGTTTCGGTTCGTATTCGCAATCGGATTCGGATTCAGATTGATATTGAGATTGAGATTCAAATTGAGTTTTCAGTTTCCGTTTAGCAGGCTCAAGGCAAAAGTCGGTGCCTCCAAAAGAAAAGAAGAGCGCAAATAGAAAGAAACAACAAAACGGGCGCTAAAAGCACAAAAACAAATTACGCGCTGTTCTAATCCTCTTCCTCTTCTTCGCGAGATCCTGCTACCCGAATTTTTTTTCTTGTTTCTGTTTATCTGTTTGTTTGCCAGAAAGAGAGGGCAAAACGCGCGCTGAATTAAAACAAAAAGTGCGTGAAAAAAATAAGTAATAAATATATATTAAGCAGAAATTTATAGAAAAAACTAATAGGGCTGAGAAAACAAAAAGTGCAAAACGCTAACCAACAAAAGAGAGGGAAAAAAACTAACCGTTAACGGAGTAAACGGAAGAGCGGAAGAGAGAGAGTGTGAGAATGTGAAAGAGAGGGGGTGTGAGCCAGAAAGCAAGTGGTTGGTAACGAAAGACGAAAACACTAGAGAAATACATATAATTAAATAGCTGAAAAGAAGAAGAAACAACTGAAATAATGTGAAAGTAATTCGTGCTATTTGGTACACACACACATACGCATACTGACACACCGCTTTAAGCTTTAGTAGCACACTTGTAATTGCTGTTCTCCTTGTTGTTGTTGTTGCTGTTTCAGTGAGTTCATCGCAAAAAATAATACACACACACACACATATACAATGTATAATGAAGCACACGCATCGAAAGAGAGCCCCTAAAGAGAGAGAGAACGAGAGAAAGACACCGCCCCCATTCGCCCCCTTGCCATTCCCCTTGCACTTATCCCACTGAACGCAATTAAAATAAATATGTGTGTTACTGTATGTGTTTTAGTCGTGCGTGTGCGTTTGTGTTGGTTAAAATAGCGCCTTGTTTGTACATGAATTAGCCTTATATTATACAATTTATACAAAGGTGTGCGTGTGTGTGTTTGTGTGCTTTCTGCATATTTTGGAATAATAAAAACAAATCAACGCCGTATTGCAGTTTCCCCTCTCTCTATCTTTCTCCCGCTCTTTCACTTGCTCTCTTCCCCTCAATGTTTGACGTTTTCAAGTGCAAACGAAAGCAACAAAAAACGAAACCAATTTTCCGCAAATTTTCCCGTTGCTGTTTTTGTTTTTTTCTTCTTCAACATTTTGTTCACATTTGCGGGTGGGGTCGCATAATTTGTTAAATTAATTTTCACTCTCCTCTCCATATGGCCATCCCGCTTGCTCGCTTATTCGCCCGCACGGCCCACTCCCCCCCCTGGGGCTGCTGCTTCTCCTTCCTTTGCCCTCGTGACGTAGTTCTCTCGCGTGTGTGCCCAAAAATACAACAAATAAGAACAACAAAAATACAAGAACAAAAAAAAAAACAGTAACCAAAACTAATTGAAAAGCCACAGCGCTGCCGGCGTCGCAGTCGCCAAAAAAAAAAAAAAAAGAGAAAACAGTGTTGTCATGTAAATGTAGCTAGAATCTAGCTTAACTGTTTTGATACTGTTTATATTAACTAAAAAAAATATCTTTAATTAATTAAATATTTTTTTTAAATATATGGAGCCTTAGATCATGTGAAAATTTATGAAAAAATTCTTATAAAAGTAGGAGAATTCAGCAAATTACAATATTTTACACCTGAAAATCAAGCTATTTTTTGGCGGATTTCCTGCCAGGTTAAGCCTCACTATTTGGAGCGTTGGCGGCAAACAAAATTGATGCGCTCATCGCGGCATTTCTCGCAGCTGATGCTGCTGCTGCTTCTTCCACTTGTGTTTCTGTTTCGGTTTCTGTTTCCCATTTACAGTTCATGTTCCTCCCATCATCTACACGTTCTCTCCGGCTGCACCAGCTTCTTCAAAAAGCATCTCCTCCACCTCCAAACTTCATCGTAATGGCAACAAGTTTTTCTCTTGTTTTTTTTTTCCTTCTTTGATTGCCTTTAATTTTCTCATCTTTTTTAGTTGTTCAATTTGCTGGGGCACTTGAGATCGTGCTTATGAGTTGGTGTTTAAATCTTTAAACTTTTCCACTTCTTTATAACAAGCTTTGCCGAGTTATAAAAAATTAAACTTCAAAAAGGCGACATTTCTATGCCCTTACAGAGGTCTTTTTTATATAGATATTTTCGTTAATATTTTGTACACTGATTCCTTATAGTATTTCTATTTAAGAAGGACATTTTTAATATAATTTTAATTTTATTTATAATATAAATTTCCAGAGTGAGAAAATTATATTTTTTAACTATAAAAATGATTTTTAAAAAATAAAGAAAATGTGCTAAATGTGTAATTATAATAGAAATCCTTATATTAAAAAACTTTAAAATATTAAAACAAAATATTAAATCATATAATAATAATTTAAGTTTTGTTTTTATAATATCAAACTGCTATAGGGTATTATCTTCTTTACTTTCCTTACATCATTTAGCAAGGGCATTAAAAAAAACCTTAACAAAATGTTTGAAGTCCAAAAACAAAGTGAAGACACATATAGGTTTCTTTTTTTTATATCTTTAAAACTTGTTTTTGAGCTTGTAACTCTTGTTCTTGTTCTTGTTCCACTTGTACTTGTACTTGTTTGTTGTTGTTTCCATTCCGCATATCAATTTCGGCACATGACGTAATCTTCACATGCTCAATAATAATAATAACAACAAAATCAACAACACACAGACTGAGTTATGAAGTGTATTTGAAATGTAAACAGATAAAAAGTAGTAGGGGGCTTTTTATATAGTCGTTGGTTGTGTGTGATTCCGCCGATGTTAGGCTCTCTATATTATTTATTCGCTACTTGTTGGGTTCTTTTTTTTTTTTGGACAGGTTTTCAGGGTTCAAAGTTCTGGGGACAATGGCCATAATAAAAGAAAAAAAAAACCCTAGAGAGAGAGATGAACGAAAGATAGAGGCTGTAGGAAGTGAATGGATGTCGTTGTTGTAGTTGTTGTTGTTCCCCCTGGGAGATTAAGTTCTTATAAACTAAATCTGGCATTCACATTCCCATTCCCCATTCTTAGATCATATACAGTACGTTTCGGCTCAGTAAATCTCAGGCTTTTCACACACAATCCGATACGGGCCATAAATGAAGTCATCGATCGGCGTAAACCAGTTATAAAATATACAGATAAAAAAGTGCGCCATAAAATCCCATGGATTTCCAGACTACACAGGTTTTTTTTTGCCAAATAAACTAAAAATAAATTCAATTTTAATTTAAAAATGGTTTTAGCTTAAATAGTGCTTCTTAAATATTTTTTAAGGTTTTATAACTTTAATTAATATTTACGTTGACTTAAAACTTGATCAAATTATTTGTTAAACCAATAACTATTTAAATACTTTTTAAAAACTCTTGAAACACACACGAGGAAACTTAAATTCCAATTTGTTTATTCAAGAATTCTTTGGCGCACGTCTCTCTCCTCCCTTTTGTTAATATTCTTTTACCGAAAAACATTCCAGAAACTATAAATTCTGTTTGGAGAAACACACAGATCTTTAAAGGCCCAAGAAATATGGCCTTGTATATTTCGGGAAACTAACAAATGGTCCAAATAGCTTTCCCAAATATATTTTATACCAAAAATAGCAGAAAAAGAAAAAAAATGTGGAACACTAGGATTTATATCAGATGTTAAATTTTGTGATGCCTCTATAGTGACCTTTAAAATGTGTGTTTCGTGCAGTTAAGAAATATCGAAAAAAAAAAATAAATAAATATAAAAAAAATAAATATATATAAAAAAATAAATAAATATAAAAAAATAAATAAAATAAATATCGAAAAATATATATAAAGTATCGAAAAAATATAATAAATATCGAAAAAAATATAATAAATATCGAAAAAAACGTAATAACCATCGAAAAAATATAATAAATATCGAAGAAAAATATAACAAATTTCTCTAAACATGTAATACAAATAAACGGGCTGGGGTTTGGATTGAAAATCGATGAAAAAATCGAAGAATATATCAGATCGTTTGTCATTCAGGCCCCCATCTCGGGATTCGGAGAAGATTGAGTTAAAAACTAAACTGGTTTCCCTCCATTACCAAAATCCTACTCCAAATGTCAAGTCCAAATCGGAATCCGGGGATTCGCAATGTGGTCAATAGCCTAGCCACTGTTTTGGCCAAATCGAGAAAGTTGCTGAGGGGCTTTTCCATCAATTGGTTTTGCTTTGTTTTATTTTAATTTTTTTTTTGTGTGCTTGCTGAAAAGCCAATTGGCAAATGACTTAATTTAATTGACATTGAGGTGGCTCTCCTCCTCGGGCTAGAGATGACGCAGTTGCTAAGCTATTTTAAGGTCACATGCGCCGATGCGTGATTTAAGTTCAAACACACACAAAAATAATAATAATAATTGTGCTTAGAACATGTTCTCTAATTCGATTTTCCTTTTTCAGATCAGAGCGTTCAATAGTACGCGTCTCCATTTACGAAAGCAGCCAGCCACAGCAGCCGGACTATTTGCCGGACGACTCTTTAGCCGGTGACGGCTATCCCTACAACAGTAACGACCTCGACCTATACCCAACAATGTCCACGACGGCAGCGACGGGGATGATGCAACAGCAGACACTTGGCCTGGGAGGGGCTTACGATCGCCAGCAGAGGTTGGTTTTTCTTAAGGATAATATCCGATTATAACAAAGTAATTCTATTGATTTTCTTTTTGTTTAAGCAGCACCGATTCTGGCTGGGATAATCCCTTTCGTCCCGGTGGTGATCTCTCACGAGAGGCTGACGAGATTGTCAGTATGATCAGAGGTGAGTTTTTTTCTTTTTTCTTTGAGATTGCAATAACATAAAAATAAAAGAATAAAATAATTTTAAAAAATATTTTATTATCATTGAAAGTCTGTGGAAATCAGTGTTAATGATTGCTATTTCTACCTTTTATTGCCTTTAAATGAAGTAATATTTACACTGTTATCAGTTAAAGCAATTAAGCCTGCAATATTGCTACAAGACTACTATATTTCCCCATGCAATATAAACAATATCGTTTTTTTTTTGCTATAAAGTAATTTCATGTGATAAAGTTGTGGTCATTTATGACAGTAATAAGGCATTGTTTTGTTGCTTGTGGGAAATATTTGTGGTCTATGGATGAGAATACCCATAAGATCAGAGAAATGTATATAATATATTTTATTTAATAAGAGTCTAAGATATTCTAATTACCAGAATAGGTTTAATTTCTTAATTTATTATATAATAAATATTTATAAAATTTTTTATAGGCGGCCAGCCCATCACACCCACAGAGGATCGTACCATTGGCAACGGGAGCACAGCACATGCGGATGACAATTGCAATGGTGGAGGAGTGGCGATCGGAGAGAGCGTGACCAAAACCAATGTGAGCTTAGTTCGAAACCTAATTAAATATTGATAACAAATTAATTATTATAATTACAGCTCTCGCAGAATCTAGCAACAGCACAAAATGGTACAAATTCCCATGCCTCTGCCGACGCTGGCGCCGGAAAGGCGGGCAAGGCGTCTGATCAGCTGAACAGCGGCGGCGGCGGCGGTGGTGGCAACAACAATGGTGTCACCTCACTGGGACAGGTGTCCAAACAGGTGGTGCCGGGACCCATCTCCGCTAGTCATGTGGTCATCGATGAGAAGAAGAGCAAGAAGAAGGGCTGCTGTGTCCTTCAATAATTCAACGGAAGGTGGGGGAAAAAACAAACGAAATGGGGGGTTATTTTTCCGGCTGTTCCATATTTCGTTTCGTTTTTAAATTTATAATTATTGTAATTTTTTTTTTCGTTCTTTTTTTGTGTTTTTTTTTGTGGATAAACGATTTCGAAATATGGAGCCGAGAAGCTGTTGATATTTTTCAAGCCGCATAAATCGCTTTTGCTTTTGCTTTTTGCAAAAACGAAAAAAAAAAACCAAAAAAAGAAAAATGAACAAAAAAAAAACTAACGAAAACAAAACATAAAACGCGGAAAAACCAAGCAAACAAGCTCTCTGGGAAGAAAGAAAAACAGCAAAGCAAGAGGATAAAGAAGAAAGAGAGCCAAAATAGAAGCAGAAAGAGAGAAAATCCAAAATTTGAATTGTAAATTAAAAGTACACACACTTTTTACAAACGGCGATTGTTTTATATATATACAATTATATATATATATACATAGTCTCTGGGAAGCCGAGACAAGCTAACTGCAATTCACCAATTATTATTATTAATTTTGTAGTCTCTCCCCGCTGTTTCTTATATTTTTTTCTCGACCTAAAAAAAAAAAATAAAAACCAATTTTTTTGTAATTATATATATATATAAATATATATATAAAATTTAGTGCGGCTTCAGAGATAAAAAAAAAAAAATGACGACACTGGACAACAAAAAAAAAGAAAATTTGAACATAAAGAATAATGTATTTATTTTTATTTATATGACGATGATGATGATGATGATGATGAAAGTAAATTAAATGTTAAACCTTAAACAAAATATACACACACACACGTACACGTACATATACAAAAACACACGCATACGCATATATACTATATATTATTATATATGATCGAAATGGAATGAATGTTTGAGGCAATAATAAAGGAAAAATTCAAAAGGTAATAAAAAAAACTCAACAACCCAACATTTTTCTAAGGCTAAATAAAATAATGAACAATTATTTTTTATCATTATATACATGAGTAAAAAAATAAAAATTAAAAGGATAAAATAAAAAAAATAGTAGCATGGATTGATCAAAGACAACTTAGAGGAAGAAGCGGTGCTGAAAATATGGCAAAAGGACAGCAGTAATCAATGCAAGATAGAGGCCTGGAAATATATAGATGAGAGGGAAGAACCACCGTTTTTTGGTTTTTTTTTTTAGTTAAGCACCACCTCTTGCACCCTCAGTATTTGATTTGATTTTCATTGTTTTTTTTTCGGCAAAAAGAAATATAGTAAATCAGAAACGTTATGCAAGCAAAATAGGTAATGGAAGCAGGTAAATTAAAGCAAAGCGAGGTACAACAAAGCAACCAAATAGCAAAACAAAAGCAAGGAAATTCAACCAGTAAGAAAAAGTGAACACCGAAATGGACCGCCACACACAAACACACCAAACACACTCTCTCAACATACACCAATCACACACTACACCCAACTACAGCCTAAGCATCAATGTGCTGCATTTGATAAGCCTAAAAAAAATATATAAATAAAAAATATATATATACATACACTCACACACAGATATATAGCAATATTGTTTCAACCAAAACTAAGGTCAAAAATTCCAAAATCCGCTAAAATAAAATATTAAAAAAAAAAAAAACAGGAGCAGCAATAAAATCAATATTTAATATTGTAAATTTCCGATTCCAAAAAGAAAAGTAAAAACTATTAAAAAAAAAACCAACAAAATGTTAAGTTATTGTATAAAAAAAATCCTAAATAAAAAACAAAAAGAAAACAATAAAAAAAAAAACTAAAGAAAAGACATACGAAATTTTAGTTTTCTTTTCTTAAACTTTTTATAGCATAACTTTCAGGGCCTAAGTTAAATCGTAGTTAAAATCTATTGATCCAATAGCCCACTTTTAGGCTGACCTTGATATATACATTTACATATATATATTATATTTTGCGTGGGGGAGCTTAAGTAGGAACAAAAATAAACTCAAGATTGATGAATGCTTTTAGTCCATTCATTCATTGATAATTGATTGCAATTGTTTATGGCAAACAAATCGCTTAATGCTTCCGCATCGAGGAGGAGATTTGATTTGGGTCTTATTCCAAATTCAAGAAACATAACGAGTCGGAGAACCTTTCACCTCAAAACTCATCCATCGATCCGATCGATTCCAATTAGGCAAAACCCATAATCTCTGTGAAAATCGAAATCGTTTTATAGTTAATTAATCCCATGACGCAACTGCATAATAATAATATTTAAATAAACAATTTGCAGCTGCGTATAGTCAGTTATAATATCCGGAAATCAAGGATATATGCTATATATGGTGCCAGGTTTCTAGCCAGGATCTATATTTTTAAATGCTAATATTAAACTAATCAAAGATATTTAAAATTTAATAACTAATCCAAAAATGCATTAATTTTAATTCGGAAAGCAGTTCTGTGCTAGTTTTTTTGAAGGTAATAAATCTGCAAACAAAATTAAAATTTCTTTTAAAATAAAATTTTTGGTACATTTTTCGGACATTATTTAATATTTTAATCCCTTAAAAAAAGTTTTAAAAATTTTAGAATTTAAATTTCAAGCAGAGATGGCTAGATCGATTCGGCTGTTGATGCTGATCAAGAATATATATGATTTATAGGGTCGGAAATGACTCATTCAATGTGTTTTTAGCTTCTGAATGAAATAATAATACCCTCTATTAATCTAAAATATAAATAATAATTTTTGGAAAAATTAAATCTTAAAAATTAAATAACTAAGCCAAAAATGCATTAATTTAAATTCGGAAAGCTGTTCTGTGCTAGTATTTTTTAATTTAATCAATCTGAATACAAAACTTAAATTTTGTTTAAATAAAATTTTTGGTCAATTTTTTGGACATTATGTAATATTTTAATCCCTTAAAAAAAAAGTTTAAAAATTTTTAGAATTTTAATTTCAAGCAGACATGGCTAGATCGATTCGGCTGTTGATGCTGATCAAGAATATATATGATTTATAGGGTCGGAAATGACGCCTTCACTGTGTTTTTAGCTTTCGACTAAAACTTTAACAATTTTAATTATAAATAATACCAATTTGTATATATTATTATTTGTATTATAAAACAGAATCACCATATGATTCACAACTGATAAACAAAATGAGAACAAGGAAATATGGTGTTTAGCTAATCCCTAAAAATAATAATTTGTTTTTGGATAATCCCCACAAGATAGGGTCAACGATTTCCCTAATCAACTTAAAAATTCTCCCACGTCACGCTGTTTTTCAAAGTTTTTTTGGAAAACCAGAATTGTGCGTTCTGTTTCTATAATTCTTATGCGGTTTTAAAGTTGCTTTAATTTATGAACTCGACTCGGAAAGACATTTATAGCAATTTATCTGGATTTGGTTTATGGCTCTCAATTCCAATTCGCATTCGGATTCCGTTCGAAGATTAATTGGCAGCCGGCAGAGCTGTCAATTTTTAAATTGTTGCGCCTAAGTAAGCGGAAATATAGCTGTGCCTCGGATCACGATCGCTTTGCTATCTCATCGAAATGGACCTAAGACTTGGGGCTTGGATTGGGATTGGGATTGGTAATGGTGATGGTGATGGTGATGGTGATGCCAAGGCACCCACTCAGTAAAAATGGAGAAGGGGAACTGGATTTTGGCCATCTATCTAATGAAAGTCAGTCGTCGTTAATGGTCAAACGTGTTTGCTTCTCTATGGGCTTTATGGCCTGACACATCTACACAGTGGCTCTGAATAGTTTGTCTTTATATATATTTTAAAAATATATAAAGTTTCCAAAAAATACATTAATAAAATATTGAACATTTTTTTTTGAATATTTAAAAACTCCTATTATTTACCATTGAAACTTAAAATTTGAATAAAATGCACCTTAATGTACTTAATATAAACTAAAAATGTTTTTTTTTTTTAATTTTCTAGCATTTTAATGACAAAAATTATTATAGTTTTAAGTTTTAAGTTTTATATATTTTTCTTTATTAAAAAATATTATTAATGGCTTTTTTTGAATGAGTAAATTCTTTTATATACGACTGTCTTAAAGTGTAGTTTTTTACAAACTTTTAACATCGATTTTTATGACCGAAAAGTAGTATATTTATATAGATATAAAAAGCTCACCTATTTTCAATGTAACTGTAAATTCGGATTCTTTTAATATTAAATTTATTTCGATACAAAAGAAAGACTTCAATTTAATCCAAAAGAGAAAATGCAAATCTCGCTTTTGTTGTTGCTATTGCATTGCAGGAAATAAAAAGAATACCCCATAGCAGCTTTAAATAAATACTTTAATATTGAAACATATATTTTGAATTTGATCCATACACTATACGAAGGCCATACAAGGAGACTCGGAGAAATGTGTATCCTTTCAATCGTCATCATGGCCAGCCCCACAGCATCCACCTTCTTCGTCGCCACAGCATGGGCTGCAGGCAAGACAGGGACTCATCGCCAGGCCACAGCAGCCAAAGCACAGGCATAACAATGGCAAGCAGATAATGAGGAGGCAGCACAGCACCACCACAATAATAATCACGATAATCATAGACATTGCAGAATTGCCCTTTTTTGGCTTTTTCGTGGTGCGTCCCCCCAAGGGAGCAGTAGTAATCACCTGTACCGGTGTACCCTGCTGCCTTGCATCGCCGACATCCGCTTAAAAGTAGAATTTTATTCAAATAAGAAAAAAGGTTATTTAAGTTTACAAAAAAAAAAAAAAAAATATATATATATAAATCTATATAAAAATATAAAAAAAAATATATATAAATAAATAAATAAAAAAAATATATATATAAAATATAAAAAAATATATATAAAAATATAAAAAAATATATACAAATATTTAAAAAAAATATAAAATAAAATATATACAATATTTGTGTGGAAGATAACTAAGTTATATAGATTTATACATTTTTTTTATCGTTTTTACCTTAAATACTAGCCAAGGTTTATAATTATTGCCAGAACTGTGGACCCAAAACGTCTTCCTCCCGCAAACCGCCTTCCCCACCATTTTTAAGCCCTCCCCCCACACACACACACTCACAAGAAGCGCCTAATTTGCGAGTGCGATTCTCGTGCAGGTGCAAATTATGATGGGATCCGAAAAAGCACACAAAAAAAAAGAATCAATAAAAGCAATGGCAACAAAGCCAATAATAATTTATGGCCAAAAATCGGGGAATAAGCTAAATAAGCATTCAAAGAAGAAGACGAGCAGAAGAAGCAGGTTGGAAGTAGAGGGGGGCGGAAAGAGAATATGGAGAATAAGGTGCTGTTACTGAGGGGGCCAATTTGGGGCGACATGTGTAAGGGAGAGGGAGATAAGAAGATCAAAATCGGTTAGGCAGCAAAAAAAACAAAGCAAAAACAACACCTCCAGCACAGAAACAACAATCGAAAAAGCTGCGCATGCGCCGCACGCGTCTTCACACACATGCACACACACACACACTAGTGTAATATTGGCGCATGTATGTCTAACTGTACCCCACACGGCGCTCGACATGACATGACAAATGCGCACGCGCTCCCGCTCCAACACCTCAACCCAGGCCCCACTCTTGCTGCGAGAGAGAGAGGTAAAACATAGATGCGAGCAAACTAGCTATTTTCAAGCTAAAACTGGTTCAAAGGTAGGGTAATTATAAAAAGTGGCTAGTGATTGTATTTAATATTACAAATTAAATTAAAATAAAAAAAAATTATATATAGTTTCTAACAAAAAAAAAAAGAAAAAGAGATGTAAAAAAACATTATTTAATAAAATATAAAATAAATTTAAAAAAAATCAAAATATAGCTAGAAAAGCTCCAAAACAGTTGGCATTACTATCCCCCAGTTTTGTCGCCGAGTGGCATTGTGTGTGTTTACTTTTTGGTGGAGTCGCGCTGTCTGCGCTGTAAGCACTGGGAAGTGGAGCAAGTGTCTTCGCCGCGTATCGATTTTCTCACTCCGCCACGGGGGGTGTTCAATGGGATTAGGAATATTCAGATCAGAAACGATCCGTATATAAATATAGACTGGTATCTTTTTTTTTCTCTCTCTCTCTCTCTCTCTGTGATTTATGCGCCTCGGAGGCCTGAGTGATTGATTCGTCTTTCAACTTAATTGAAAGACCGAGCAGTTGGTTGTTGGATCATTAAGCAATTTAAGAACTTGTTGATTTAGAGATTGAGGCGATAAATGATTGATTGGAAAGATAAATAATGCGGGACGGGACGCGGGAAGCGATAGGGATGCATTTAAAGCCGGATGGAAGAGGAGAGAGACTCGAAACGATTTTATGCCCATGTTAATCTTTATAATAAAGTTGTTTTTAATTTCTTTATCTCTGTAGTATCTTTTAATTTAGATGTTTATTCTTGTGAGCTTATTAATTTAATTTCTGGGGTTTTCCTAAAGCGAACTCCAGAGATTTATTAAACAAGATATGATGTCAATTTTTTTAGGGATTATTTAGTGGAAATATTTTCTATATTCCTACTAGATATTCAAAATAATAACCTTTATATCCAAGGATTATGATCTCCAAAGCTCAAAAATTTAATTCAAGTTAAATAAATCAAATGAAATTAATACCACGACATGATGATGATTGACACAGTTCCCCCCATCAATTGTTGCCCTTGGCACGGGTTTAGAGTGGACCCAAAAAACGGTTTTCCGAAATTTAAATTTGTATATTATACGTGTATAAAGTTTCTTTTATGCTTTGTGCTATTTTTAGGCTTTGTGCGCACAAAATGCTAACAAGCCAAAAAACGTTGAAAAATCATCTTAGGAAACCCGTTTGGTTTTTTTTTTTTCTTGACCGGATCTGAGCTTTAGCGGAAAACTCTGATAAGTTATTAAATAAACAAGTCGTAAACTCGAACTGCGATTACGAACTATTAATTAGATGGGACGAATTCGAATTTCGGCATAAGAAACTAAAACTAAAACCAAATCCAAGTCCAAGTTCTTCTTAGGATTCTGGGCCCGAAGATTTATACTCCCTATAAAACGTTAATGGAATTAGTGAGGCAGAGTTAATTGAATGATGGCTTAAATGGTGACAGCTTCACTTTTATGCTTCGATTTTGAATTTCAACGGGTTTCATCGGGATCTCTGGGGTGGTGTCACGCCTCGGGAGCGTTGTCTAGCCTTGATCTAGAATAATTCCGAGCCGATACAGTGGGTATCAAAAGCATAAAATAAGTTTTGTTTTATTGAAGTAAAGCTTTATATTTGTTTCATGTTAATGTTTGTATTTTATTCATTTTGATTGTCTTTTTAATACTTAAAAAATATGTATTTATTAAAATTTAGATATTATAAGATAATATTTATTAAAATTTAGATATTATTAAATATTATAAAATAATATTTGTTTTAAAAATTTAATTAATTTTTATATATATTTTATTTATTTAAATTTCACAAAGAACACAGCCTAAAAACCATAAAATGCAAACATGTTTAATTTTTTGTATTTATTTAATAGGTTTCTTGTTGCTAAGGCAATTATTTAAATATCAGAAAATATCCCGATTGTCTCATCTAAAAGCGGCAGACGTAATAAAATAATACAATGAAAGGCCTAAAGAGCTTTTCGATTTAATATCACATTTAATTATATTAAACAAAATACTCTCAACTGCTGGAGAACACGTTTTGTGACCATTAAAATATATATACTCAATTTAAATATATATTTATTCAATTTAATTCTAAATCGAGATAAACTTTTTCACTCGCAAAATATTATTATTAATTGCAACCAGTTCTAATTAATAATTGAATAAAATTAACAAAACTCAGACTGAATTATGGGAACTGAAGGCGGTGTCTTTACTTTCATTTTATGGCACCTTTACGCAATGAAACGCACTGTATAAAGGAGCCAGCGAGACATTCGGACAAAATAAATAAAGAAAACTGGTCTTAATTATACAAAATTCGGCAGAAACTAAAAAAAAATGGTCAGAGGGAGACGGACGGAGAGACAGATAACTTTACGTTTTGGGGTAAAAGCAAAACGTGTTTAGCTTTCTATTTAAACTATGCAAATTCGCATTGATTATTTATTTCTTGGCTCTGTGGCAACAAAAAAAAAAATAATAAAATAAAAACTAAGACCCTCTAGATCGAATTAAAAAATAGGAAAAAAAATAGAAGAGTGAAAAATAAATATAAAAAAAAATCTGTAGAAAACAGCCATAAAAAGGAGCGTTTCGATCGCTCAGGTGGAATATGCATAACCGGTCAAAGAACCGACAGAATCAAGAACCTGATCCCAACTCGATTTAGTTGGTTTCGGATTTGATTTTGGTTTTGGGTTCTGGACTCGCGAATCGAGTATTTCCTTAAGTTGCCCATAAAATATGATTTAGCCACATATTATTTATGGCCCGCAACCAGATCTTCTGATTCAGAACGTGCAGCCATAACTGATTTTTAATATTCCATTCAGATTCAATCACGCCCTGGGACATGCTCCACTAATGACAGCCCCCGCTAGCTCTCTAGCCCCGAACTTGCTTCTCTTTTTTTTTTGTATTTTTGTATTTCGCCAAAATAATAAAATCAAATTAGGGGCGTTGTCATCCATCGCCGCGCCACCTACAAGAATTAATATGCATAATTCCAGGGGGTTGGCTCTGTTGAATAATAATAATAATAGTCTAGATATAGCTATAAATATATATATATATAGTATACACGATATAGCACATGCCCCGATGCAAATGAGTTGGATTAACGGACGGAATTGGATCTCTGAACTAGTTCCTTAAGGAGACTAGTAGTAGTAGTGATCCGGTGGTGATGGCCAGATTTATGATACCTCCCGGTCCTTATGAGGGGCGCTCAACACGGCACCGGATCTGCATATCAATAGATTAATAGATATGCACACTGATAGATAGCTGCTTAATTTGATCAATAAATTGCACATACATACTATAGAATATTGTGTATAATAAAGAAACTAATATACCATCTAGGGTTATGAATTGAGATCAGGAAAGTTGTTAGAAATAAATACGGTATGATTTGTATTTGAAATCAAATTTTGCTAGTTTTTTTTAGATGTTATAACAGAAAAAGTTTATTAATAAAATAAAGGATTCGTCTAAGCTCTTGACGGCCGAGCAGGGACTCGAGAAGAAGGTCCTTTTATCAGAGTGACTGGTTATTATATTAAAAATATAAATAACTTATAACTGAAGCAGTTTTTTTATCAATGAAATATTTAGCTAGAAGTATCTAATAGATACAACCTTAGTCCAATTCGCTAAGCGAATCTATCTATCAGGAAAATATATATAGAAGTATTTACATAGATTAGTCTTCCTTTCATTCTTTACCCAAGGACAAAGCCTACTTTTTGGGATTCAATGAATGGATTTTTCGTTTGTATTTTTCCCATGCTTGGTAATGGCTTCAGGAAGTCTGCCTTGGCGATGAACCCCCGCTGTCTCATCTTTAATCAAAGTCCCATTTAATGACTGTTCGCATGCCGGTCAAATTTAGGGCCTGATTTCAGTGTCTGTTTTTGTATGGTTTTACATATTTTCCCCCCTAATTTTTAGTTGTTTTTACATCATCATCGCAAAACTCTCAAGGGCAAGAAGAAAAGAAGGAGAGAACCGAATTGATTCGGTTCGAATCGAATAGAAGCGAGTGGAACAGAACTAAATGTTTTGGTTTCTTGGAAATCTCGTTTCTGTCTCCTTATAATTGCTAATTTATTTATTTATTTTATATTCTTTTTTTTTCGTCCAGCTCTTTCTTTATTGTTTTGCCTAAGCGCTACGTGGGGGAAAAATAAACAGAGAAACGAACAAAATGATCACGCATCATGGGGTTTTTATATACTCTAAGAAGGATTTTACACAAGATAAAGAGAGTTATTTTATTCCTGATGATTAACATTTATTGTGAAACTTTATTGAATATTAAACTAAAGAAAATATATTAAAATTCTTAAAATACTTTTATAAAATAATATGTGCTGTAACTAATTTAAGGTATTTAGAATATATTTTCATTATAATAAATTTTAAAAATATTTCTTTAAATTATAAAAACTAAAAGAAAAACACATCTCTTTTTTTTTTTGTTATAAATTTAATATTAATAAATTTAATTTGTTATAATTTTAATAATAGAGACCAGCAAAAACCCCAAGTTAGTGATAATACCCCATTAAAAATTAAGCAAAAATCAAAGATTCGGCAAAATTCAAAGCGAGCTAGGCGAAACGAGGGAACGTTGGGGGCTGGCTGCGTAACAAGTTGTTCGATCTGTTAATTTGGCAAAGAAACCACATCGACATCGCAATAAAATTCAAAGAAAAGAAAAAAAATAAACACGGCTAAATGAAACACTTTCTTTTCGCTATGCAAATGGCAAATGTAAAGCAAAACAATAAATATTAAATTAATGGTAATTAATGCAGGCAGCTGCAGGCTTTTACCTGGAATTAAAAGCTAACCAAAGCGATGACAATTAATGGGGTGACAAGATGAGTCAGTAGTTGATGGGGATCTGATCTCGTATCCAAGAGCCATATAGCCACTCCCTCGAACACGTTTGGGTCCTAAGTGAGACATCAAGATCGAAGACAAAAACCTAAGACTCAAGAGGCTCTTTTAGAGACTCTTGGTGACCGGGGCGTGTGCAAGTATGCATAACAAATGCGATATTGAAGACGAAACGCTTATTTTCCAAGGTAGCCTTACCATCATCTGGTACCATCTCATCTCGGCTCTCTGACAAGCCGCTGAAATGGCCAAAAACGTTTTCATTAAAGAACCAGAAGAGTCTCAGACCGAATGCGATGAAAAATGAATGCCGTGCGGCATTCGTTTAAGTTATTAAGCATAAAACTTAAATTAGAGGCACCATTAGCGATTATCATTAGAGCTGCGTGTCCGGTCCGGTTTCGATTCCCCCACAATCTTATCTCCTCGAATTTATTACTTTCAATTTTTTGTGTTTTTTTTTTCTGTTTTATCGATGGGAAAAAGCATCATTTGATTGTTGTCGGTCCTTTACCCATAATCGAAAAACTTTTGTTTTTAGAACTGGAAATCTTGGGGATTTTATATCACAGAGAGTTCTAGGAATCAAATAATAGATGGATTTCCTTCCAAAAATAATTGATTTAAGCAAATATTGTGACAGTTAGTGTGCTAAAATTTAAAAAAAATAAGTTCATTAGCACGAAATAATTGATTGCAATTTTGTGACAAACACTTTATGGAAATATTAATATATAAGGGTATAGAAAAAATAGTAAACAAAAGGATAAAGGCTTTTTCTTAGCGCCCTCAATGATTTTCTCCTGCAAATATTTGTTTTACAAATTATTTAACAATTAGCTTGATTGCAATTTGAACATAAAAACACTTTAATACCCTCAGTTAATTAATTAGATACTGGAATATGAATAAATATCATTAGGAAAATGAGAAAGGAAGGCTTTAAAAAGCAACATAAACATTTATGGTCATTTATTGTGGGTCATTTAAAGTTGAAACCGATTTCGACAAGGCTGTGTCTTGTCCACCACTCTCGGAAGAATGAATTATAGAAAATAAATCATTGGTAAATAGAGCCATTAGTGGGGGTTACCCATAAAGTATATGCAAATTGAGGGAAACGATGAAAAGCTACCGAAAATGACCCTGCTGAATAGTATTTCTTATTCTATTTGTATTTCTCATATTTAAGTATTTATGTTAAGCCCCACCAGATTCCGACAGACACTGATCCGCCAGAAGAACTGGCGGCATTTTGATAAATTTGATAAGCCAGAAATCGAGTCGAATCGAAACGGAACGGAATGGAGCGGAGCGGAAAGACTAATTAAGCGAAGGCTGAACGAGACCTGACTAAACAGATTGCATTAACATATAGAGAATACTATATCTTATCAGAAGATTCACAGTAGAAGATTCACAGAAGAAGATTCACAGAAGAAGATTCACAGAAGAAGATTCACAGAAGATTCATAGAAGAAGATTCACAGTAGAAGATTCACAGTCTGCAGAGCGAAGAATCATTCAGGTCTTTGGATCATGGATCATGGATCTTAAGATTGGATCTCAAACTGGTCGCCCCGAAAAAATACATTGTCGTTAATCGTGTATCAACGCATATTTTATCGGTAGTATATATTTTATATACTATCGTCTATATATATTTTGTATATTCCATGCTTTATAAAAAATTAACGCAAATTTAAATTTACGCACATGCACACACACACACACACGTACACTGCGATCGAAGACTGAAAAAAAAAATTGATCATTAAACGTGTATGCTAATTTGATGATGGCGGTTTTCTAATTTTGTTGCCCAGAAACCAGATTTCTATGCTGCGATCAGTCTCCGTCAGCAACGAAAGGCGGACTCTTCCCCCCCTAGAAGCCGAGTCAACTGAATCTTCTGCCCAGAAGAATTGGCCCAAGATGAGGCCCTAAAATTGTTACATCTTTTTCGCAGATTGATGGTGGTGCCCCAAGTCCCCCGTTCCCTTGAAAAGTTGACAAACTTTGGCTTTATTTTCAGGGGTTCTAAGTGGCCAAGAATTGAGGCACACTGGTGCGAAATATATTTGCGTTAAGTTATAACGCAATATAAAAAAAATTAAATTTTTAAATTTAACTATTATAATATTTGCTAATTTTATTTGCGGGTTAGAAGGTTGATAGATAAATTTTAAAATTTATTAAAAATTAAAAATATTTTTTAAAAATATTTATGTACTTAACTAAAACATAAAGAACAACTTAATAACGATAAAAACTTAATAAGGTCCAAATCTCTGTAACTAAAATTATTTACAATTAAAATTAACGTACAAAAAACAGAAATATTTAATTTATATTTAAGATATTAATACCTTATATTTTTCTTAATATTAAAAAAAATAATATTAACAAAATGAATATATAAACAGAAAATAAAAAAAAAGTTATATAATATATAAAATATTTTATACTATACTTTTGTTATAAATAATAGATTTTTGTTTAAGACTTTTACTTACCTCTAGCCATAATGCCATCTTCCGTGAAATTTTGCACTTCAAATTGCTGTATTGTAACCGATTCCTCTACCGCTTTTTCAATATTAAATACAAATTATTAAATTAATTTTTTTAAAAGCATATTATTGTCTAAGAAACCTTCTTCAGTGTGGCCACTGTGCATCGACTTCGACACCGACTCCTCCTCGGTTCGTTGTCCGGTTTCCAATTCAGTTTTTGCCGCTGCCTCAGTCGACGTCTCTGCCGACGGCATTGGCTGCGTCGCCGCTAGCGTCGCAGCCAAGATGATATATAAGGAAACAAGAAGTCGCATCGTTTGTATTTATTTGCTAGAATCTGTGAGCATCGGAACTGACCACCGCTACCACCAACCTCCGACTTGGAAAAACCATAAATAGTCCTCGTACCGAATTTTGTTTTTTTCGCAACACAATATGAAGACTTTTGTAAGTGCCAAAAAAAAAACAATAATAATATAACGAAAAATTGTTGGACTAGAAACTACACACACAAATTCGTAACAAAACTTTCCAAGGAAACTATGTTACATTTTTTTTTTACTGTGTGATAAGAAAAGAACCAAGGATCAAGTGAAAGTGCTAAAAAATATTTATATGAAAAGTGTGAGGATTCGGAAATAATATTCTTCGTATTGAGCCTCAGATCACCTTGAGAGACAAGCCCATCATCATCATCATGACGAATGACAAATATCGAGACCCATTATGATTAGTGCCTGCAAACCGAAATAAAATCGAAGAAAAAAAAGAACAAATCTCTGTTTAAACACCCAGAAATCACCGTCGAAAAACGCGCGAGACACAGCGACGCGACTCGCGCGCGACTTTGATTAATTGCTTTGCTAATGCAAAAAATGCAAAAAATGCAAAAAATGCTAAATACTTGAATACAAAATTATAAATATAAAATATATATAAACCATACATATAACACTGTATAAAGAGCACCAAGGAATGTCCTAGTTAACAGTGCAAATCAGTTGTTGAACTCTTGAAAGTGCTCCTTGGCGCTTTTCAAAGTTTGAAAAATAATTCTTAACTAATAGATTTTTTTAGTTGCCTCAGCAATCCTTAAATATTTTTAAAAATATATATTGCTTTAGTATATAATTTTAATAATAATTATTTGCAGCTGATCCTGCTGGGTTTCGCTGCTCTGGCCGCTGCCGATGTCAAGCACCTGACTGACCGCAATCTGGACCTATTCAAGTATAATCCCAGCGATATCTATACGCTGCCCGAGGATATTGACGATGACAAGCCGGCGGTTCAGTTCAGCGGTGATGTGATGAAGGCCAAGACCGAGAAGCTCCAGAACTACAATTCCGGCAAGAAGTTCAAGTTGGAGTGAGTATATGCCCTATAAACCGTAAAGCTTTCTTTACGATTTACAATATATTTTTAAAATAATATTTAAAATTTTATGCATACAAATATCCTTTGAACTTGAAACTGAATTCAATTTAGCTAGAAAGTAAAATCATTTAATAAAAACTTAATTTACTTAATGTCTTCATTAAGTGATTTCTATTTAAGCTATAAATATAAGTAGCCAGAAGCTGAAAGTTTAAATTTTAAAGAAAATATTACCAAGCCCCAGTGTTTTTTTTAGTAATTTTCATTTAAATATATGGGAATATCTACCCAATATTTTCTTATATTTTGTTTATAAATACGAAAAAATCCTGAACATATATATTTCATATTTTATATATTTATATTTATTTTTAATATAATTTGTATAATTTACATATTTTTTATATATTTATTTTTATATTTTTTATATAATTTGTATAATTTATATATTTTTTGTAACTTTATTTATAATTTTTTCTTTCCTTTATTTTCTCAAAAAATCTTTAGACTGAAGACCCAGAACGGCATCGAGGTGAGCAGCGTGGGCAAGCTGAAGGACGACAAGACCTTCGTGGTGAGCGGTTCCTACTCCTTCACGGGAGCCGATGGCAAGCGCTACAAGACCCGTTATACCGCCGATGAGTTCGGCTACCATCCCATCACCGAGCTGGATCTCGATATTCCCGAGTGAGTATATTAACAATATTTCTTAATTTTAAGGTTTTTTTTTATTTAAAAAATTTTACAAAAATTATTTATTTAATTTTAAAAAAATTTTAAATTATTATTTATCTATTATTTGTGATTTAAAATAAAATATAGAGTCCAATAATTAATTATCCAAAATTCCATAATTTCAGGCCCCAGCCCCTGGCCGCCGCCGGACAGCGCCAGCCTGTGGATGCCAGCAGCCTGCTGGGCAACAAGAACCGCTTCCAGTTCCTGCAGCAGCACCTTGACGCCGACCAGGGACCACTGCGGGGCAGTGGCCAGAGCGGCGATGACTACAGCTACACGCCTCAGCAGGGCGGAGCCAATGGTCAGCTGTTTGGTGCTCCCTATGGCAGCTCTGGTGTTGCAGCCTATGGCAATGGCTACGATTACCAGCCCCCTCAGACGCCTCTGGTGACGCCGTCGCGCCAGTATCTGCCCGTGGCATAAGGTTGCCATCTCTAAAAAAAAAATAAAATATAAAAATACAAAAAATATACCTTTCCCCAGACTCCCAAACCCTACCCTGACCTTTCCCCAGCTGCAAGTATTTAGTTTTTAAGTGCAAAACTCCAACAACAACAACAACAACAGGCAAAAACAAAGAAAAAATCACAGCAGAGATAGCGAAAAAAAAATTTTTTTTTTTTTATCATTTTTTAGTGTTATACACGGAGCACAATTTTTATATATGATATTATACCTATATACACGGATATATGTTATATATCACACTCACACACACACAAAACACACACGCACACAAAAAACAAAAACACAAAATACACACACAACCTCCGACAAAGAAAAAAGACACACACACAAACGAATCTATGTATATACACTGAGTGATATTAGTAGTAAATAAAATGGCTAAACTAACGATCAAAAGTAAATGTTTTCATTTTTTGGGGGATTCCCTAGAGTCCAAAATGAACTTATAGTGGCTTTTAATAATTATATTAATTCACTAAAAATTTGTTATTCAATCTCTCTCTTTAGATTATGTTAAATTTTAAATAAAAAATAAATTTAATAATAATAATAATACAAAAATAATTAAACTAAATCATTGAATTATTATAATAATATATAAATAAACCACATAATTAAATCATAAATCAAAAAAAAAAAAATGAAAAGCTGTTAAGCTCTGTGTAATTACCTTTTACCCTTTTGTAGGGCATTATATTTTTAGTTAGAAGTTGACAATGCAGTTAGTGAAATTTTATATAAATAAATAAATTATTTAGTGTTTTTCATTTAGATTAGTGTTCATTTCTCTGTACAAATAATTTCTAGTATTAGTTTACAGCCAAGCAATCAAAACAGACAGCAACTGAAATTTACAATCCACAAATGTGGATCGTATTCCGGGATCTACTCTCCGTGAGAGAGCAGTTTTGTTTCGTTTGTTTTACATTTAAGTTTCAAGGGCAAGGATTAGAAACACAACAACTAACAAGAAAAAGAAGAAGAGAGCAGAGCAAATGACGCGCTCTCGCGAGTGTTTGCTTAAAATAACGGTACATAAGAAAACATGCAACAATGAACAAAAACAGAAAGACAGAAAAACAAAATAAAGTAAAGCAAAATGGATTACCTTAACTCGCCCGTTGTTTGTAGCTTCCAAACTTTAATATTCGTTTTCTCTTTATCTTCTACAAATTTTCACAACAAAAAACAAAACAAAAATCAAATAATAATTAATTTAATGCAAATCACTGGCACTTTTTCACCTAAAAAAAAAAATAAAAAAGACGTAAGTTTTTTGCCCGTTTTCCACCATTTTTCTTACACTTTTCTCCGCTTCGCTTTTGACGATCAAAGCAAGAAGAAGAGCTCGAAAGGCAGAGACCAACGGGACTTCACAGGACGGACACTTGGCAGTCGCATTGCCTCCCTCGCACTTACACTTGCACAGTAAAAAAAATCTAAAAAAAATAAAAACGCTCTGCTCTACGCTTCCCGAGCGTAGATTTTACCGCCATTCGTTCGAATTTATGTTTTTCACAACGCGACGATGTTTTTCCGCACTTTTCCAATCGTTTTTTCACGTTCTTAATCCGTTTTCGCAGGAGCATGCGTTTTCCGACTGTACAATTTGCGTGCGAAAGCGAAAATGAAATAACAAAATGGTGGAATACTGAGGAGTCTCCACTGGAGACTGCCAAAAAGGTAAGCGGCTAGCGGCGAGAGAGAGACTCTCCAATCCTTCAGCGAAAATGGCAATGCCAACGAACGAAGGATGAAAGGAACGAAGGAAGCACGATCCGCTTAATTTTTACTTTTAATTGACGCTGTATTATCTGTTCAAGTTGTATACCAGCGCTCCTTTTCCGACTGAATTGCATGGCTAATTGGCATTTACTTGCACAGCAAAAAAAAATTTTAAAAAAACTAACGACTCTTCGCTTTTCGAGCATAGATTTTTCCGTCTGTCCTTCGGATTTATGTTTTTCACAGCGCGACGAGGTTTTTCCGCACTTTTCCGATCCTTTTTCAACGTTTTTAACGCGTTTTCGTAGGAGCGCGTATTTTCCGACTGTACAACTTGTCAGCAAAAGCGATAATGCAAAAAGAAATGGCGGAATACTGGAGAGTCTCCTGTGGAGACTGCCAAGCGTCTCTCTCTAATCCTTAAGCTGGCAATGCCAATGAGCGAAGGATGGAAGCACAAAAAAAAAAAACGAAAAAATAAAACTGAACGGATCTACGCTTGCCAAGCATAGATTTTTCCGCAATTCGTTTGGATTTATGTTTTTCACAGCGCGACAAGGTTTTTCCGCACTTTTCCGATCGGTTTTCATCGTTTTTTAACCCTTTTTCGCAGGAGCTCCCGTTTTCCGACCGAACAACTTGTGAGCAAAGGCGAAAATGCCAAAAGAAATGGCGGAATACTGGAGACTGCCAATAAATGGTAAGCTGCAAGCGGCGAGAGAGCGAATGTCTCTCTCTCTCTCTCTCTCCTTTATTTGTATCCTGTTAGTTTTTGATTGGTTTTAAATGATCCAATTGCAAACTGCAAGGTTATACAAACTTGGGAGTGCCAAATAAGGCTAATTTTAAAGCCTAAAAGCATGCTGTTAAACTTTTAACAAAACTTAGTCTCGATATGATTTGATCGCAAATATTTTAGTGTAATATACATATACAAAAATGCTGATTAAAGTATCTTTTTAGGTATTTTATTTATAAATAATTGTATATAAATTATACATTATTTATATAATAACGTAATCATGTTTATAAATTATAAATTATTTAAATAGACCTTATAAATAAGGAGCAATTCTTCCTATTGATTTTAAATCAGAAGTTTAGTCTTACTTTAAAGATCATTATTGCCCAAAATAAAATAGCCCTTAATTTATAAATAAATTAAGTAATATCGATTATACATAATGCATGTTTATTTGAAGAATTAAGACTTTGATTACTTATTAACAGATGCTTTTGAACTGACTGCTGGTGGCTATGAAAGGCAGCTTTATGGATATACTTCATTCTAAAGCTTGCTTCTGGTATCGCCTCTGATCGCTGTCAAGCAAGGTTCCGCCTCAAAGGAGAAAGGTTTCCTACAGCCAAAACAAAAACCTTTGCTAACAAATTGAAATTCAAAGCCAAATCCTCAGTCTGATGTATACACTCGCAATCACTTAAGCTCTATATATATGTGCAAGTATAGTATATATGGCGTTGGATTAACAGCTTGTGCTTAATGCATAGTGTTTAATGCTTAATGGCTACGCGAATCGTACAAAACGAGAGACAAATGTAACAGCGAGAGGCGAGGCTGGGCGCATCGTGGAAGATATTTGTATATATATAGATATAAGTAGTCATCGGTACTTTTGACTTGTTTATTTGGCCTGAGAGTAGCGCTTGGGAGGCCTCACCAGCTCCTACTGTTAGTTACCAGTCGCCGAGTTTGCAGTTAGCTGTTTAAAGATCACCGCCGTGATTCTGCCATCGTTTTTGATGACACACCGCCTGCAAGGGTTTAAATATAATTTAATTGTTAAAAAGTAAAGTAAAATGTACGTACTTGTTGCCACTGTACAGGCAAATGGTGGCCGGAACTGTGCTGTTTGGCTCTAGTTTGGCCACCTGCTGGGCAATGGCCATTCCTATGCCGGATACATTAGGATCGATGTCGCCCTTAGCTAAAAAGGATCAGTTGCTTAAAAGATATATACACATAAATATCTCCTTGGGAAAGAAAACTCACCAACCAGGCACAGGCCCTGACGATTGGCCACCAATGCTCCCACCGTGTCCGGTCGCGCAGCCCTACAAATGAGTTTAATTAATACATATTTCCAACTTTATTGGCTTGCCTACGTATCCATCAACACCTTCTCCAGTTGGGTTTCCATGGTCAAGGATGTTAGATTCACTAAATTTAATAAAAAACAAAGCAAAAAACCAAAACAATGATATTTGTGAGGGGACCAGTGTGACCGGTCGATGCAAGTGTTGAAAATACCAGAAAAAATACCGATTTATTTATGTTTACTAGCTAGATGGTCTATTTATCGATGACATTCGCTTATTTCCCGTCAGATCGGACTTTTTTATGTTTCTTTTATTTGTTCCGCTTTATTATATATAATATGTACATCAAGTTAGAGTTTAAAAAATCCACAAAAATTAGTAACACTTGTTTTAAGCAACAACAACCGTAACATTATTGAATTGATGTTTTTGCTGCCTAATTTCCTTTAAAGTTTTTAGCTATTTCACCGCCTGCAGTGTCACCTAAAAGTTGGCCACACTGGCCACCGCGCACCGTAAACATCGCCAGAACCGAACACGTCAGCTACGCGGATTTGATTAACAAAAAAAACGGTTTGTTTGTGGATAGCGCAACCCGGAAAACCGATTGATCTGTTGCAGCCTCCGTCCACGTTAGCATCCTTATCCGCCAAGTATTTCTGTGGACCCAAAGCTGCTTCAAAATGGTAAGAAAGCGGTAGACTTGCGGCAGGCACACACCACGACAAGCACATAACACGACACGCACACACACGTCGGCGCTTATCGGAAATTGCAAAATATTAATAAAAGAAATCGTAACCCCTCCCTCCCCCTGACAGGTACTCATCGCTGCGGCAGTCTGCACCAAGAATGGCAAAGGTGAGTGGAGAATAGCATTAAGATCCTGGAGAGAGGATGAATATCTACTAACACACACACAAACACGCACACTCTCTCCTTTGTAGTGATTCTGTCACGTCAGTTTGTGGAGATGACGAAGGCACGCATCGAGGGTCTGCTGGCCGCCTTTCCCAAGCTAATGACCGCCGGCAAGCAACACACCTACGTGGAAACGGACTCGGTGCGCTATGTCTACCAGCCAATGGAGAAGCTTTACATGCTGCTCATTACCACAAAGGCCAGTAATATACTGGAGGATCTGGAGACGCTGCGTTTGTTCTCCAAAGTGGTGAGTAGGGCTAAGAGCTTAGAAAGAACCCAGCTCACAAGGATTATCATATCTGCTCCTTAGATTCCCGAGTATAGTCACTCTTTGGATGAAAAAGAGATTGTGGAGAATGCCTTTAATTTGATCTTTGCCTTCGATGAAATCGTGGCCTTGGGCTACCGGGAGAGCGTCAATCTGGCCCAGATCAAGACCTTTGTGGAGATGGACTCGCATGAGGAGAAGGTCTATCAGGCGGTAAGGCAGACCCAAGAGCGTGAGGCACGCCAAAAGATGCGCGAAAAGGCCAAGGAGCTGCAGCGTCAACGCATGGAGGCCAGCAAACGTGGCGGTCCCTCAATGGGCGGTCGCAGTGGTGGCTTTAGTGCCGATAGCTTTGGCAGCAGCAGCGGCGGCGGGATGGGCAGCAGCTCTGGTGGCATTAGTGGGGTATCCTCCTCCTCAAGTGGCGGTGGCGGCATTACCTCCATTGATTTGGACAGTTCCAAGTCCAAGGTGGCAGCGTAAGTAAAGGTTCTTACCTGCTTTTCGGTGACCTTAATCTTTGGTTTCCTTTGTAGAAAACCCACTTCACGCAATGCCCTTAAGTTGGGTGGCAAATCCAAGGATGTGGACAGCTTTGTGGATCAGCTAAAGAGCGAGGGCGAAAAGATAGCCAATCTGGCTCCAGTGGCTCCGGCTGCGGCCAGTGCCAGTGCAGCAGCAGCAGCAGCCAAGGCCATCTCGGCGGATATACATAGAGAGAGGTGGGGTTCTTAAGCTTTTTTAAAGAATTTTAAACTTATATATTTTCCTCGGTTTCCCCTTTTAAGTGTGCATCTAAAGATTGAGGACAAGCTGGTGGTACGCCTGGGACGCGATGGTGGGGTCCAGCAGTTTGAAAACTCTGGCCTGCTAACTCTACGTATTACGGACGAGGCCTATGGCCGTATCCTAATGAAGCTATCGCCGAATCACACACAGGGCCTGCAGCTGCAGACGCATCCCAATGTGGACAAGGAGCTGTTCAAGTCAAGGAACACCATTGGTTTAAAGAATCTGGGCAAACCGTTTCCCCTTAACACCGATGTGGGTGTGCTCAAGTGGCGTTTTGTCTCGCAGGATGAGTCGGCCATTCCATTGACCAGTAAGTGGTAGTCCCCCTCCCCCGACTTGCCTTCTCTCTTTCTCTGTTCTCATGATGTCTCTTTCTTTTTCCAGTCAACTGCTGGCCATCGGACAATGGAGAAGGTGGCTGCGATGTAAATATTGAATATGAACTGGAGGCCCAACAGCTGGAGCTGCAGGATGTGGCCATTGTTATACCCTTGCCGTGAGTTTAAACTTGATTCTTAACCTTAACAAAAGCTTATATATCATTTTTTTCTCTACCAGAATGAATGTCCAACCATCGGTGGCCGAATATGATGGCACCTATAACTATGATTCACGCAAGCATGTCTTACAATGGCACATTCCCATCATTGATGCCGCCAACAAGTCTGGTTCCATGGAGTTTAGCTGCAGTGCCTCCATACCAGGCGATTTCTTTCCCTTGCAGGTCTCGTTTGTCTCAAAGACACCATATGCTGGTATTGCTGCCGAGGATGTTGTCCAGGTGGACAATGAGACGGCGGCTGTGAAGTATTCATGCGAATCGATATTGTTTGTGGAGAAGTACGAGATCGTGTAGAAAGGGGCCATGGCCATCTCTCCCCCCTAAAAGTAGTACATAAATAATACATATAAAAAAACACTAGAAATCCATATGTTCTTTTTCTGTTAAAGATTATTTTTACACGAGGCAAAAAAAAAAACAAACAAAAATTATTCCAAATGAGAGGTTCATCATCGAAGGAAAAGCTATTAAATAAAACTTATTTTGTGCACTCCCAGGCGCTGCGTCTAACGGTATACATATATATATATATATTAAAATAAATGAATTGAAAGGCAAAACAATCTTCCATCTTTTGATACGTTTATAATTTTAATTAATTTAATTTATTAAATAAATAAAGTCGGGGAAAATGATAAAAAAATTTTTTTCATAAATTTTTAAGGGATTAAAATATTCAATAATGTCCAAAAAAATTTACCAAAAATTTTATTCAAAAAAAAATAAAAATTTTGTATGCTTGAAATTAAAATTTTAAAATTTTTTCATAATTTTTCAAGTGATTAAAATATTAAATACTGTAAAAAAAATTGACCGAAAATTTTAATTAAAAAAAATCAAAATTTTGTATGCTTGAAATTAAAATTCTAAAAATTTTGCATAATTTTTTAAGGGATTAAAATATTAAATAATGTAAAAAACAATGTACCATAAATTTGATTTAAAAAAAATAATTAAATTTGTTATGCAGATTTATTAAATTAAAAAATACTAACACAGAACAGCTTTCCGAATTAAAATTTATGAATTTTTAAATGAGTTACATATTTTTAAAACGGGGATTTTTTACCAAAAATAAATTTAAAAAAAAAAAACAGAATTATACCATTTTTTTTTTTTAATTTTTAAAAAAATTGTAAAAAAAATTTAATTTAAAAGGAAATGCAATTTCAATATAAAAACGAACGAAGAACAGATTTTCCGAATTAAATAAACTTTTTTGGCTGAGTAAAAAATCTATTAAATTAAATTATTAAATCTCTTAAAAAATCAATTAAAAATGTTGGCCCCCTAAACCCATGCAAACTACAAATAATTAAAATAATTAAATATAAAATATAAACGCAAATATATATTTTTTTTTTCAGTGCTCTCGTATTTATGTTAAAAAACATTTTCACTGTCATTTCATTTTGGTCACAGCGACCTTAGTCCGTAAAAACTTAAAATTAAACTTGATTTCTTTGCAAAGAAAAGTGAGAATAAAAAACAAACACATTAACTTACATATAAAATACCTATATATATATATGTCTAGTGTCCAGCTAGTCGTCCAGTGTGAGCGTTTGGACGCGACTGGCGATCGACGCCGCCTCCCCTTCCTTCTGCTTGGCATACTCCACGCCAAGGAGCCGCATCACCTGGGCGGCTGTCAGGTGATCCTGTTTGAACTTTTGAAAGTTATCCTTGACAAATTTGGCAAAGCCCTTGGCCTCGCCCGCCGGCGTGGACACAGTGTTGCCCTGTTTATCCTTTTTGTTCAACAAAAGCGTGATGGGACCTCGGCAAAGACGACAGCGTAGATTCTCCACCTTACGCGAGCGGGAGTGGGCATGGGAGCTGGTAGAAACCCAAGAGATGTTGGCAGGGTTTAAAGGGTATAAACTATCGTTTACTTACGAGGTATTGCAGCTCATGCACTTGTAGGTGTACTTGAACTCGATGCTGTAGTTGTGGCACACCTTGATGGGCGGCAGGTCTGGGAACTTGTCATTGGCCCGCTTGGCCCACATTTTCCAGACGCGTCCATGGCCACCCTCGCCATTGAATACCCAGGCGGCGGCATGGCACAGCTCATGGATGAGGGTACAGCGCAGGCGATCGGCTGTGGTTAGCACTTTGAGGCTTAGCTCTACCACGCTGCTGCGCTGGTTGAGTCTGGAGGAGATTAGGAGAGGAGTATGTGTATAATTGATGCTGATCAAGAATATATAAACTTCACACATAATATAAAAAAAAGGAAACCCACTTGCGCTTATTCATGCATCTTCCGGCTGTGTTGCGCAGCAGCTTCGACCAGGTGAGAGGCACATCCAGTTCGTTGTTGAACACCTGGGCATTGAACAGCTTGTAGAGATGCTGGGCCAGCAGCTCCTTGTTCTTGGCGAAGTTCTCCCTATAAAAGTAGGCCTCGTTGTCTGCCTTCTCACGGCTTACTTGACCCTCGAGGGATTTGAGGAAGCTGCATTTGCCGCCGTTGCCCTTTTGGATCTGGCTAGGCTGCACTGCCTCCTTTTTCTTTCTTGTTGAAGACTTGGGCGTGGCCTTATCAAAAATCGATTTCCCCTTGTTTAAATCCGTTTCTCCTGGCTTAACTATGCCCAGATTTCGTTTGACCTCCTGCAAACGCTTGTGAACCGGCGTCCCTGGCAAATAGTCATTCTCCAGCTCATCCAGCATATCCAGATCCAAGGCCTTGGCCACAATCTCACGCGCCTCATTGTCATCTTCATAGCCAGCATTGGGTGTAAAAAGCTGACGGCGTGTGGTAGTCTGTGGCGCAGGAGGCGGAGGAGGAGGTGTGGCTGGTAATTTGAGCTTGCTGGTGGCGCGACAGGAACGCAGGATGTCATCCAGGCGGCGATGGATTTTGGGAGCTGTAAAAAAAAACAAGAGTTTAAGTTAAGTTCAACTTGACGAATCTTTTTCTTACACTGAGAATCCTCCTCCTCCTCATCGGGATTGCTTATCACCTCCACCTCATCCTTGGTCAGGTCCAGGTAGGTCAAATCCTTGTCTTGAGCTTTTTTTGGCCTGCTCTTGATGCCTGAATCACTGGAGCTGGACTCACTGCCCGTGTAGGTGGCATCTGCATCTTCATCATCGGAGGCATCGGTGCCGCTTTCAGAGTCTATGAGCGCACGCCAGCGTTCTTCATCCACATGGTTGGTGCGGGCACGTGGCGGGTGACGTGGTCGCCTTTCCGTTTGGACAGCTCGCAGGGGAGGCTGAGGCGGCGGCAGGTGTGTGGAGTTCAAGGGCGTTTGATTTGTGCGCAAAGGTCGGGTAACTAAAGGTTAAAGAGAGATTCATTTTTAGGAGGAGAATCACATAAAAGGAGAGTTTCTACTTCTTACATATACTAAAGTCACCCAGGAGACTCTCATCCACTGGCTTTGGTCGCGCCGGCTGCCTCTTTTTGGTGGTGGTGGTGGCTGCCGGCTGCCTCTTCTTCTTGGTGGTGGTGGCTGCCATCGGCGCCTCGAGATTCCTAGGCTTTAGAGGCTTTCTCTGGCCGCCACTGCCACTGGAACGTTTTAGGGTACGTATTACATCCGGTGTTTGCCAGGATTCACCATAAAGCTGATTGAGCAGCCTTTCGGCTTGGCTTAGGAACTGCTCATCCTCGGAGGCATCGCCAGAGGAGGAGATTAGGGATTTTTGATTCTGTTTCAGCTGCTTTTGCTCTTGAACCTCCACCAGCTCGGAACTAAGCTTTCTTTGAGCCTGGTCCTGCTCCTTCTCCTGCTCTTCTTCCTCCCCAGAACTCGAGTAGCCGGTGGGTATGCTGATCTTGATGTTGATCTTGGCTGAGATATTGATGCTGCTCACCTGCACCGAAGGGGTTTCATAGTTGCCTGAGGAGGAGGAGGAGCTGGAACTAGGTCTCAGGGGAGAGGCTACAGGTACAGCTTCAGCTTCACCTTCTTCCTCTCCTTCGCTGCCCGTTTCTGGAATCTCAATGGACTCCTCTGGTATAGGCTCATCCTCCTCCGCCTCCTCATCCTGCAGCGTGGAGTTCAGTTCTGTATCATTCCCGGCCAGCCGCTGGCTTATACTCTTAATTTCCGGACTCTCCGGCTCCAGGGACTGGGAGCTCAGTGTATTGGCCTCGGTGGCATCATCCGCCAGTCGCTTGCTACTGTCCATGTCCAGGACTGTGTCATCATCTGCCAGCCGTTTGCTGCTGTCAATAGGTCTTGGTGGCTGCTCCCAATCCTCGTCCGTATGGGGCGTTGTCATGGATTCAGTGTCGGCCAAAGCTATCTGGGAACGTCGCCTTGCCGAGTAGGAGGAGGCTAGGGATGAGGGTGGTGTATGGTCACCCACATGGCGCTCCACATCCCTTAGAAAAGCCTCAATGCGTTGGACTTTGTCGCTGGTGAGGATTGATTGTGGGGCCGGTTCTGGCTCCCGTTCGCTGACAGCCATGCTGTCGGGCTCGGGATCGGCCTGCTCCTGGTCCTCATCCTCGCTGGTATCGGAGATGGTGATGGCGTCATCTTCCTCCGTTGTGGAGGATATACAAATGGAGACCTGCTGCTGCTGTTGCTGCTGCTCCTGCTTGGAGTGCATTGTCAGGTGGCTTACGCTGGCGGAGAGCTGCTCCACATCAACGTCTGTATTGGCACTTAGCTGCAGGGCATCCATATAGTCGGAGCCATCCAGTTGCTCCGTCTCCAAATTGTCGCGCATGGCTAATGCTTCTTGGGGTAACTGCTGCTCCTGATCTTGTTGTGGCTCCCGTTCCCTCTGCTGTGGTCGTTTCTTGTGGGAGGATAGCGTCAGTTTTGAGAATTTCTCATTCAGGGGCACAGTTACTTTGTTCGGATCGATCGCCCGGAATAGCTTATACTTATGATCGGCCATCTTGGTGGCGTCGTTGGCCTCCTAACGGTAATTTTTCACTCGGATTATGCTATAAGCGCATTCGCCAATTGCCCAAAAAGGGAAAAAAACAACAAATAAACAGTTGGAATTCCTTTGAAAAACAAAAACAAATACGAACCGAGTGCGCGTCTTTAGCAGGGTTGCATCTGGCGCCTATCGTTATCGGTTGCTGTGAGTGCTGCCCAGGACCAGTGTCCTTTTGGCGGGAAAAAAGCTAAATTTAAGGGTAGGAAAAATTAGACATTTTAATGCAAGTGAAAAGAAAAACTTTAATTATTTTTAACAAATTTAAAATGATATATTTATAGAGTCGTAAAATTATAAGTAGAGCTGGAAGTATATCGATTTACAGTTTATAATTTTTTTTAACTTTAAAAATAAATCAGTTAAAGTCTAAATTGGAATTAAAATATAAATAAATAAAATACATATAATAAAAAAGCTAAATATTATTTTAAAATATAATATATAATAAATTAATCGAAAATATTATCGATTTTTCACAGCTAAAAACTAGCTAGCTTCAATGTGACCGTATTTCGCCGCCATGTACTGACAACACTGACGGCAAACGTAAACAAAAGGAAAAACAACTCTTCTGCCGGCTTTAAAACTTTAAACTTTAGTTTTAAATTGTTTTACAACATATTTAAGCCATGGCCAGCGTTTCGTCGGCCCGCGAGTCCCTTTCCCACGCGCTAAACAACCGCTTTCTGCCCAATCTGGAGTACCTGCTGCAGGGCTCCATTCTGGACTCGGCCGTGGAGCACTTGATGCACAGATTAAAGGGCCTGTGCGACAATGTGGACACCTCACCGGAGACCTTCCACGACCTGGAGGTGTGCATGAGCCTGCGCCAGCCCAACTCCAATCAGCCGCTGCTATTGCGCGTGCGACGCGCTCTCGGCCGTGATGCACCCTTCCAGATGCGTTACCTGGGCAATCCGGAGGTGGATCAGCGGCGACCCACACTGGTGCGCAGCTGCATGGACTGTGCCTGCACCAATGGCATACTGGAGTTTCTCACCGAGATGGGTTTTCGTCTGGAATTTGAGTACATAGCCAAGGGTAAGGATTATCTCCTCCCACTTGAAAGGATTTCAATTGTATTTATTCCCCCTTAGGTTACATGTTCCGCAAGGGTCGGATGAAGATTACCGTCTCCAAACTAATCAAAATTGTGCCCGGCAAGCAACAGGATATGGCCAATGAGCCCATCTCGCAAAGCTACATCGTAGAGCTATCAGTGGTGGCACCCACGGGGCAGGAGAATGTCGGCGAGGAGATGCGTGTGTTTGCAGAGCAATTGAAGCCACTGGTGCAGCTGGAGAAGATTGATTACAAGCGACTGGGGGGCATGCCGTAGTCGTAAAAATAAAGGTATTATAGGAATGTCTCAAACTGGGATTTATTCACAAAAACAAAAGCAAAAATGGACAAAACAGGAGGGGATAAGGATATACATAACAATTTTTCGGGACCTAATCATTAAAGGCCTCGTTGAGCGCCGCCAAATTCCGATCGGTCACATGTCCCTGCAGATCGCTGCGTCCCATCAGCGAGATGACCATCTTAACAGTGCTCCATATTGATTCCGACATTTGATTCTGTCCCATGCTGGCCGCCGCTGGTAATTCTCTGGCCGCATTCGTATGCGCCTGCATGGTGAGCGCCGTAAGCAAATGCTCCACTGCCTCCTTGTACGCCTTGAGGTTCATGCAACACACACCCACATTGTAGCGCACGCGTATAAAACCAGGCTGCAGCTGGAGGGCATGCTGATAGGCCTCTACAGCCTCCACGGAACGTGAACCATTGGCCAAGCTGGCACCCAAACGATTCCAAGTTTTGGCATTTTGAGGATCCACCTGCAAGGCGGAATTGTAACAATCCACCGCCTTGTCAAATTCCCCGGAAAGATTGTATAGCACACCGAGTGCCTCCTGGATATCGGCATCCACTTCTGCGGGATGCTGACGCACTGCCTCCAAATATATTTGTTGTAAATCTCGCAGCTTGCTGGGGCCTATGAGAGACGAAGCCAGGGAGCTGCCCTCCGCCTGGAGCTCTGGATGTGCCTGCACAAGGTGTTGATACTTGGGATGTACTGCCAGCCAGCTGCATAGCATGCGTACGGCATTGTTCTGGAGACCCTCATTCGTATAGCAAACGGCCAGGGCCATTAGAACTTGACGGTTATCCGGCTGAAGGTCATGTGCCCGCTTCAGTGCCGCTATACCCTGCGGATCCATCTCATTCTCAGCCTGCGAGGTGCCCAACAGCTGCCATACTTCGGCTCGTTCCGGTTCCTTTTTGGCGGCCACCTCGAAGCAGAGAACAGCACTGGGTATATCGCCCTTGGCCAGGTATTCCTTACCCTTCTCAAAGGCATTCTCCAGCTCGGCCATGGGATTCTCCTCGGCGAATTCGTACTCCTTGTAGGCATCCAGGTTGTCATTGAATTCGGATAGCCACGGATGCTCATTCTCATCGGCCAGTTTCTGCCATTCATCCTGCAGGCGCTGCCAGAATTTCTCATTGAAATTTGCCGCCGTTTGCTCCTTTTGCTCGGCACTGCGCTGGTAGTCAGTGATCCAATCGTCCAGAGATTCACCCTTGGGTGCCGCTGGCAGGTTGTCCGTTATAATCGTCTCCATGGTGGAGTCAAAGAAGGGATCCTGCTGCTGCTGCTGGTAGCTGCTAGGACCCGCGGTAATGGCCATGTATGGCTGATGGAAATTCTGGCTGCGAATCAGTGGCTCATCGAAGAACTCCTGGGCATGCTGTAGCTCCTGCTGCTGGGCCTGCATGTGTATCATCTTGTTGGGCAAAGGAGGCGCCACCGCCGCCGCCAGGCCGCGTTGAAAGTCCTGGTTCCACTGGTCAGCCTGCTGATGGTGCATCTGCTGGGTATGCATCCCACCCTGGATGTTGATGTCCCGCATCTCCTGTAGAAGTGTGTCCATTTGAAAGGATTGCGGGGGTGCCGAGACCTGGCCCAGGAACTCGTTGATCAACTGATCCTCGGGGCGGGCACCCCTTTCGAATTGGCGCTGCACAAAGCCCTCGTCCTTGTGGGCAACATCGCGGGTGAACTGGCCGCCCAGCTGCATTAGCGGATTCACGCCGCCGCAATCCCCCTCGACCAGTGGGCGGAACGACATAGTGTGCGTGGGTGTGGACGTAACTGGTGGCCCTAGGCGACGACGATAAGGAAAGTAAACTAAAGTCCACAACAAAGGTCCAAATGTCCAAAAAATAAAAAAGATTGCCAGGCAGTGTGACCGACTGTTTTTTGTTTACCAATGGAGCTGCCAGACTGCGCGATAATTATCGATATATTGATATTTTGCTATATTATCGACAACCCTGAAAATATCGATATATTGGTATTTTGAAATATTATCAACAGTGTTCCCAGGTTAGGGGTTTTCCCCCTAGATTTAGGGGTTTTTTGATGTCCTAGGGGGAATTTTAGGGGGGAAGAATTTTTAGGGGGAAAGATTAGGGGTTTTTTTAAACTTGTATTAATACTATATTTTGAAAAAAACATTGTAGAATTTATAATTTACTCAACAATTTCAACACCTTTTGAAACTTTTTGTGAACAAAGAGGTTTCCAAGCCGAGTTTTCAGAAAATGTTATCGATGCATATGTATAAAAAAACATTAAAATTAACTAACAAAAAGATGTTTCTTCCCTATATTTAATAAACTAACTGATTTCTTTAATTTAGGGGGAAGACTGGATTTTTTAGGGGGAAATTTCAACTTTTTTCGATTTTTTAGGGGGAGAGCCAAATTTTCATCTGGCAACACTGATTATCAACAACCCTACATTTTGTTTTTGTTATCGACGTGAACGGACGTGTGTGCTCGTGTGATGCGGCGACAGGTTCGCAGGTAGCGTAGTTTTACCTTTGCCGCTCTACAAAAGTCAAGCCGCGACAACAATAGCAGTAACAATAAGCGCAATTATAATCGCAACAATAGGCGCATTCTTAATTGTGTTTACCTTTGATTGCCACCACACCGCTGCGGAGAAGAAGAGGGAGACAGACTTGAAATAACTGCGATTTCGACTTGTGTGTACGTGCGTGTGCTAGTGTCTTGTCGCGTCCTCCGCCGCCTCCCATATCCCGTTTTTGTTTGTTTGTTTTTGGTTCTTATTCTTACTGTCGCCGTTCCTGTTTCTTTCTCTGTCGCTGCAAGTGCGCTCGGTTTTTCCTTTTTCCTCAATTGGAATGTGCAGCCAAAGAAAAGCGGAGCAGAGCAAAGCCAATGAAAAGCAAAAGGCACAACAACAACAAGGCAAGGAAAAGCAAATGAAAGAACAAATCAGAGCAGCAACGGTATTTTGTCAACGAGAAAACGGAGAAGAATTTTATATAAGCACTAAAAGCACATAACATAATCTACTATTCCACATACATTCTGTCCCACGACAACAACAACAATAAAAACAAGGCAACTCTACCTACTACAACTACTACTACGGCAACAACAATAACAAATACAACGGCAACGACGAGGCAACGTTAAAAAGTACTAATAAATACAATTTTACACATTCACATTCCATATTTGATTCTTTTGTGTGTGAAAAACTTATAAGAGATAAAAGCAACGACAACAACAACAAAACAACACGAAACCAACGGCAAATAACAAAAGTATAAGCAGCGGCGGCAACAACAACAACAGTAAGCAGTAAGCAGCATAGCAAAGCAGCGACGTTGACGACGACCGCGGCAGCAAAGAAGAAGAAAGATAAATACATAGCAATTTCGACTAAATAAAGGTATGTGCGACGACGTTTTTACTTGACTTTATTATTACTAACTATACTAGGCGAGCGGGCGCGAGCAAGCGAGATGGATGCCACTCGCACATACACTCGCACATTTCATTATTAGTTTAACTCTTCAATTTATTATTGTTATTATTGCTGCCTTGTGGCTCTGGCTCTGCTCTCTCACTCTCTTGCTCCACTCTAGCTCTAGCGCTATCCCGCTTGCTCGCTCCTTGGCGCGCCGCTCTCAATTGGGGGGCTCTTGCTCTCTGGCTCTCCAGCTAGTTCTTAGCCGCCGTCGTTGTTGTTGTTTCTGGCATTAACTATGTTCACTTGAGCGCAGGAATAGTTACGTTAAATCAGTGCGTTTAGTGGTATTTGTGTTTGTGCTTGGGAATATGATGTCTGTCGGTGTCTGGCCGTCGCGTATGTGTCTGTTGTGTGAATAAAGATTACGCTTTTTGAATATATGCCTACGAAAATGTTTAAGAAATATACATATATACATATATCAGCACAATTGTAGTTGTAGTTGTATTTGCCTTTTGCCCGTGCATGTGCATATTTGTGCGCCAGTATGTGTTTATTGTTCTTTCGTATATTTGATCAACCGCTTGATAAAATAGAGAGAAAAACAACCAAGTCAGGTTAAAACGAGCACACGTCGGTATGTTTATATCTATAAGTGCTTTCCTATGTCTGTATGTGTGTGTTGTTTGAATTGTACATAAATTGAATTAAGTGAAATTGTTGTTATTATAGCTGCCGTTATTGTTGTTAGCGGAAATTTCTACACCGCATGTTCAGACTTTAAAATCGTCGATCATTGAAATCGAACTAAAAAAAAAAACAAAATAAAAAAAAGAAACACATACATGTGGAGCAACAACCGTTACTTTGACAGTTGGACAATTCTGATTGGGATCTCTGCGTGTGTATGTATCTGTGTGTGTGTGTTATGCAACATTTCCAGATTCTCAAAAGATCCGAAAGTATACAAAATTAATCACATCTCCCGATGGCATTTGCGCCTAATCGTTTTTCCATTCTCTCCATTCTCCAAGTTTTTCCACTTCCACCTAAGCTATCATTATATATTTATTGTCTTTCTATTTAGAAAAAAAAAAAAACGAATATAAAGAACGATAATTATTAAAAAATACAGGCATACGTATAAAGGCAATTTTAGATTATTTCAAAAGCATATCGCTTTTTCTTCAAGTTATTTATAACTCGAACCACTATCTTCTCTTAAGCAAAAGCCGTATAAAAATATTATAGTTATAGTTATAGAAACTGTTAAAAAAAGTTTTCAGTATTTATACAGTCACCAGTCAGTTGCTTAAAAGAAAATTATTAATTAATTGTATTACAAACTTTATTTTTAAATCAGGATTTATCTGATTTTAATAATAAACACACAGTTTGAGTATTACTTTATGAAATCCAGGGGTTATACAAATCCAAATTCTTTTCTTTTATTATCCTGGTAGTCTTACTTTAGATTTTTAACAACAAAAAAGTATAAAGAAACCAATTATTTGTACATTCTTTAGCTTGGCAAAGCTGCAGATTCCTGTTTTCTGCAATCTCCACTGATCCTTTGCCTATTTTTGGCCCTTCCCTTTTTTATTAAGCTGCCTGGCTAGCTGGCTGGCATTTGCAGAAAAAGAAACGAAAAAAGACAAAAACTAAAGAAAAAACCTAAACCTAAAAAAACCCACTAGACGAGTGAGCTGCACATATTTGTTAACATTACCATTACCATATCCCATTTCCAATTTCCATGCTCGCTTCTCTGTGACTCAGAAGACAGCAACTACAGCAACAACAATAATAATAATGGCAGCGACAAAGGCTGAAATAAAAACGGCAACAACAATAATGGCACACACCTATTTATGTGGTCGCACACACACACAAAACAGTGTACACTTAAAAAAAGTCAGCGATATGCATATGTAACTACTCGAGTATCATTAAATGCAGATCTCTATAAAAGCATAAAATATACAGCAAAAAAAAGCCGGAGAAGAAGAGGCATAAGCTGGGAAGTAACATTGTTGGCTTGATCGTTTACCCTTTCACAGGGTATTACTGGTTTATAAAAAGGTTTGCTTATAAATATATAATCATAACAAGTTTAGACAAAGGTACCCCATATAGTATTACGCTATTTTGTTGAAACTTTCCACCTGGCCTTGTTTCTGTTGAAAGTTCTATATAAATTGAAATCGAGCCATTATGTTATCTGAGACATTGTAACACCTGAAAGTGTGGCACGAACATAAGCTAGTTTCAAAGGAATTGTTTAGTTATTTTGTGAAGATATTTGAATTTTAATTTCCTAGAATTGTTCTTAATAATCAACAGGGGGAAACTCTATACACATTCATATTTTTATATCCTTTAGGTAGCCTTCAAATAAATAGTTTGGAAAGGGTATTACAGATATTAGTTATACGTACAAAGTTATACTGCTTGCTTTATAACCACTACCAATACCCACGCATACATTTGCCTGCCTGCTTGCACACATGCACATGCACTGCCAACAATCCATAATAATCTTCCCGTAATTTATAGTCCAAGACAATTTATGTAATTTACAAATACCAAAAACGAAAGAGACGGCACGAAAGGCAGCACAGCGGAGAGTGGAGAGCGTATAAAACGATGAGAGCGAATGCAACTGCTGCAACTAACGATAATAACAATAACGAAAAATACATATAATAAAAACGAGAAAAAAAAAACAGCACACACAGAAACAACAACAACAACGACAGAAAAGCAGCAATAAACAGCTACAGCAACAACTGCAACAATAGCGCACTAAATAAACAATTCAACAAATTTGATCCGAGGCAAACACACACACAACGACAATCATAGACAACAGACGACGACGACTCACACGCACATAAAAAAAATGCATATGGAGAAAAAAAAATAAATAAAAAATATGTACGTACGTATGCGATGCACTGCGCACTGCCAGCAAGAAAAATGAATAAAAAATACGACAGCAGTAAGTGCAGTAACAGAAACAGAAATAGCAAAAGCAATAGCAAAAGCAATAGCAAAAGCAATAGCAATAGCAATAGCAAAAGCAAAAGCAAAGTCAATAGCAAAGACAGCGCTGCAAAGACAACCTGCATGCAAGCAAGCAGCGCCAGGCCAACTGCTTGGCGCGTATACAGAAAATGTCGCTCATTCGCTCGTCCCGCTCCTTCCTCATCCTTCGCCATCGCCGCGGCCACTCGGTTCGTTCGTAGATTTAACGCTGTAAGCTGCTATTTGCCATTTGCTTTGTTTGTTTTTTGCTTCTCAAGTTTGGTGAACGCATAAAATAAACAAGTAGTTCGGAGTCCCTGTCCTAGAATTCGACTAGTTGATACCCCCTTAAAAAAAATAAATAAACAACAAACATGTGACAGCTGTGTGCAGCGGCAAGGTCTTGCAACTGCTTGCAGCTGCGGTTTTTTAACTGTAAAACTGCTTAACTCAGTGTGACAACTGTTGATCCTTACTATTCCAATAAGAATTCTGGGGAAACTTGAAAGAGATACTTTGGCATCTTTTTTTAATTATTATTTTGAAGATTTGGCAACAACCGATATACTTTTGATACCCTTGCTATCAGAATCGTCTATAAAAGTCTGTAGAAAATATACAACTTGAACCCATAAACTCGAAAACACACACACACCAGCACACACTCTTAGAGACAGATGCTAGCTTGAATGTGGTAATTGCATTTATTGCACGTGCTCCTGCTATCTCTTTTGCACTCTCTCTCGCGGCTGCCTCTGCCCCGTTGTCCCCCCTCCCCCCTGTAGACCTCTGTCGCACTTAAGAGTCAAGCACAAAATGTAAGGCCATAAAAATATTTTTCAAGCTGTAAACTTTTCTATGCTGCAGTTTCTTTCGCTCGCTTCTTTTTCTTTTGTTTGTTTGTTTCTTCTGTTGTGCCCATGATGGGTTCTTTTATGTTTGTCCTTCTCTTTTGGGGTTTTTTTGTACTCTTCTCTGTGGTTTCTCCTGGCCATCGCGATCTTCTTTTCCTTCTCTACCGTCTCTTGCTGCCTCCCACCGCCCGTCGTCTCCTGACGAACTATAGGGTATCAATCAAGCGAGCTCTTGCGGTTCCCTTTCGGATTGACAGTTGCGGTCATTTCTATAGGTAACCCTATTTCTACCAGGAATGGTAGGAACTGTAGGAAAAACAAAATATCCACAAAAAGAAGACTGTTTTCTAATTTTTTTTAATTATTATTTTATTCTTAAGTCTTCATTAAAAACCTTAAAATAATCTCTGCTTAGATTTTACTATATTTCTATAAAGCCATTTAAAATAAAACTATTTTGTACAGATATCATAAGAGACCTTGTTTTTGTTTTACTTTCATTAAAAAATATGTATTAAATTTAATAATTGACTTGTTCTTGTGAGTGAGAGTTTTTTCGAGGTCTAGTCGCTTGATTTTAGACGCTACTTATTTTACCAGCAGGCTTGTTGTAAAGGCAATTGTTTTTAAATTAATAATAAACAACAGAAGGTTGTACTATTTTAGCTACTATCATTTTGACCTCAGTTATTGCATCTTTGATGCTTTTTATGGGCAACATTGCTTGGATATGAAACTTGTCTATTGAGCAAGGAAAGAGAGAGAGGGAGCGCCTTCTTCTTGCCATGGTTCCACATCGCCTCGTCGTTCTCAGTTCGCTCTTCACATCTACTAAGGCTTATCTTTGGCCATTGCCAAGTTTTTCATCTAGTTTTTCGGCCTGACTTTTCCCCTCGATCCAAGCTCTGATTCCTGTTCTCGCATGATACCTCCTGCTCCTCCCTGCTCCTTGTTCTTCTCCTTATAGCTCTCCCACCCGCCCACACGCATCTCCTTTTGTAGAAGCGGTCGGTCGACTTTGTTTAGATCTTTTCCCCCCCGATCTTTGGTCATAATATCCTCGTTCCATCATCATCATCATTACACTAGATTTCACAA